TAATAATAAAAATAAAGGAGTAATATCATTTAACAATGATTCCATAAGTATTACTCCATGAAAAAAATTCAATGTAGAATGAAACAATTATTTTTTAATTTGTTGTACATTAAAATATCGCCTATTTTATGTTATAGATGTAGAAATTTGATGTCAATTTTACCACAAAACTTACCAACAATAAATTACTAAATGTATTAACGTATCATTAATCATTTCTGTTTGCTTCTAATTTACTTTCATGAAAGAATTAATTACAATAAATTTTGTTTGTTCCAATATTTTTTGGTGAAGTTCACTCATTAGAAAAGCAAGTTGTGCAATCATTTATACAATAGAAAATTACTTTAATTATTTATAAATAATAAAGAAATATTCGAAGCTTCAATAATCATAAGTTTAATTATTATCTATAAATATTTCTATATTACGTGTCTTTTTATAACCAGGTTCTCATAATTATTAATTTATACACGTTTATAACAAACGTAAAGTAAAAGATTTGTCCATTGTTATTATCGATTATAAAATTTCAAATATAAGAAAATACAACGGAGACAGTAAATATAATACAATATAACAGAAATAAGTAAATTCAGTGAGAAGAATCTCGAAGATAACTTTTGCTTAGAAACATGCGAAAAAAGTTTGACACTACACTGTAAGATAATCAAATTCAGTGAGAGCCTTGAGCTAGGTCAGTGTTACGTTTACAAGCGCGTTTGATTTATTTAAGATGTTTAATTCGTAACACAACAACAAAAGGAAAGAAAAAAAAGAGAAAGCTCGAGCGTAAAATAAAAATTTGATAATACAAATTTTCCATTCAATATTACATGATTCAAAATTAATTTCAATTGATTCACTTTCCATATATATATATATGTACTTCCAGTTCGTGCAAAACATTTATTTTATGTGTACCAACTGAATTATGGAGATGGTAAAAATATAATTGTAAGTTTCGTTCTGATTATGACTTACATATAATGATTTTTAAAGAAATCTTTTGAATTTGAAAGACAAAAATATTGTAAAAAATAAATTATAATATTTTGGTGATTGTATATCTAACTGTTTCTAACATTGTTATATATAATTTATATTAATATGATTATTTAAAAATAACCATATTTCTTTAATATATAAATTGCATGCAATTAATTCAGTACATTATATAAGAAATTATTTTATTATTATTATATTATAATTTATACTATTTATTAAATATTTGCATACATTTTAAAATATTGACAGTTAAATAAAAAATCAACATTATTTCAAACATAAAGTATATATAATGTAAAATTATATATAATGTATATGTAATGTAAAATTAACATGTTAATAAAAAGAATTGATAAAATATTGATATTAAAATATATATATCTATATAACTGTTACAAAATTCATGGTTAACGTTAAATTATTTCAAACTCTTGTGTGACGGTACACATAAAAGCAGTGATATATATATATATATATATATATATATATCATGTATTATATCAATATTATTTGTTAATATTAATATTATATTAATATCATATATTATGTTAATATTAATATTATATTCACATATTAATATTATGTTGTTTTGCCTATATATTCCAATTGAATTTTTTTAAACAAAAATATGTTATAAAAATTAACTTCTAATTGAAATTTTAAATATGTATATATATGTATATGTTTCAATTTTTCTTTTCAACATAATTTTCTAAATAGGTGATAAATTTTTTTTAATTCAAATAGAATTTTTTGTGTATTATCAAGATAATGATATCTGATACAATTAATACTAATCTAGTGAACAAACTAACTGATAAGATATTTATAAAAAGAAATACAAAAATTAAGATTAAAAACATTAAAAAATTAATTATAATGCAGTTCAAAAAAAATTTTACTTACCCGTATAATTTAGAGCAATATTTTTATACTATTATAGGCAATATGAACTTAATTAAATAAATCAATTCAATTAAATAAGTCAACTGCAAATAAATTTGATGATTTTGAATTGAAAGCATTTATATACTGACACATTGCATGCATGTTCTATTTAGAAAATAAATACATATATGTATATATAACATTTGTACTAATGTTTAATCAAAATAAATCAAAAAATAAATTCAAATAATTTCAAAATTGATATCATTGTAACTGACTTCTGCTCCATTTGAAAAAAAAAAAAGAAAAATGAAGAAAAGTACATTGCTATACTTTACAATTAATTGTAAATTGTTTCTCAAGTCAAAAGAGATAAAAATATTTTTAAGAATAACTTTCGTTGGTTTATCTTTGACAGTATTAGTAACGGAAAACGGGAAAATCTGTCAAACTTACGTAAATGAGGCCGGAATAATATCTGTCTTTGAGGTTATGCAGCACGGAGGCTTCGTTTAGGCACGTTAGCTCAGCCATGTCCTCAACTTTGTCAAATTTTGGTGGATTCATCTTCTGTATATCGTCTTTCGCGACAAGGACCCGTTTCCCAGTTTCGGCAATCTCCACCTCAACTTCATCACCCCGTTCACCCTTTATCCCAGCTGCAACAAAACCCTGGGTTTCGTGTGGCACCCAAACCAGCTTTTTCTGCGTCCATTCTGCCTGAGTTGCAGGATCGTTAAAATTATTCCTGTCAACGGAAAGGAACCGTAATTCGGGATCCGAATGATCCACCCTCGAGTCGACATCCGCCATTTTTGTTTTTGAGATCACTAGCTCCTCGAACCGGCTTTAGGGACGAGCGATTCCAAGGACGATCCTCGACAGACTGACCTCTTCGGAACAAGGACACACATGTAACTATTCAACACTCGTTTTCCCGTCGTTTTCGAGCGTCTGTTATACGGTGGTATACTTAAAGTAATCTGAAGTCGGAGAGTTTTAGACGATTCGTAGCTCGTTCTCCTTCGAGGCACCGTATTCTTCTACCACCTTTAACGCTCTTCAAGATTGTTTTCTTTCTCGCTCCTCGCGGCCATCTTCTTTTCTCCTTAACGCCGAAATGATGGTGGGGTTGTGTTTTGAAGGTATGCTGCATAGCAGCGCTCGTATCGCTACGTGACGTGTTTCGATAGAAATTTGATTGGTTAGGAGGCAAACGTAGTTAACGCAGCAACCAATCGAAAATCGATTTTGTATATCGTGAAAAACAGATATTGTTTTTAATCATAAGCAAGACATTCTCATTATACTTTTTTTTATGCTTTGATTTTAAATATGCACCTGACGGTTCTTAACTGAAAACTAGTAATGATACAATTGTAATAAAGTACTTACACGATTCATGGAAGATTACGATGGAAATTAAATTATGTGATGTTAATTACTTCAAAAATACGTGTCTTTTTATAAATATTTTTCTATTCGTGATGTGATGTAAGTTGTATTTTATTTTGTAACTTTGCAACATGTACTTGTCAAATTAGTATCATAGAATATATTAATTAATATATAATATAATTAATATAAAAATTAATATATAATTAATTAATATAAAATAATAATAGTTTGATATTTTCTTTGTTTCAAATCAAATTTTTTTTCGTGTATAGTACTACATTAATATAAAATGTATGCTTGGTTATAGTAATGAATTAAGTATTTTTAAACATTAATTTAAATAATTAAATTAATCTTTATTAAATATTTTTTAAAGAGTAAACATATTATAGGAGATGAGAAATTGAAATTTTACTTATTTTTTAATATTATAAAACAGTTTCCTTTAATATAATGGCATCATATATTATTATTATATTCCTACCTTACGAATTGTATGTACAACATGAAAAGCAAATACAGTAAAGAAATTTTATTTATGTATATAATAATTCTTAAATTAACAAATTTTTAGAATAATTTTTTAAATTTGTAAGTAGTAAATAATCGTCGAATGGAAATTTGTAAATGTGTATAGTATATAATCATACGACTCGGAAGATAATCAAGTAATTCCTTATGAAAGAATAAAAAAAATAATAAAAATTTTTTCATCTTAGTTTTCGAGGAAATTGAGTTTGATAATTTATTAAATACATTTGAATTTAACTAATTCTAGAAATTATAGAAAAGAATAATTAACAAGATATTAATGTACATATAAAACTGAGTTAAAAATGCAGAATAAAATTTTTTCATTTAAAGCTTCATTTCCAAGAAAATAGGTTTTGAATATATATACAGTTTGTTAAAAATTGCCTTAACGACTATCGCACGTTACAAAACATGTAGATATCACCTGTAATTATGATATTCTTGAATCGTTTTTTGTTTAATCAATATAAATATAATTTGAAATGAAAAATCTACGATGTAAAGCTAGTGCTAAATTCATAATAAATGTATATTGATAATAATAATAAATGTATATTGTACATTATACATTAAAATATCATGTTCTTTACGTTTTAGCTTTCGTTAGGTAATCAATCGAATAATAATCAAAGACGAGTCATTATACTAAAATCAATAACGATTTATCTTTGCTAACAAGACTAAAATTTGAATTGGAAAAACTCTTAGTTATCGTGATTAGGTTACTTGAATTACCCTCTCCTCACTTTATTCAATATATTAGAGGGAGAGAGAGAGAGAGAGAGAGAGAGAGAGAGAGAGAGAGAGAGAGAGAGAGATATTTTATTAGAATCGTAGTCTTGCGGTTAGTTAGTGAGTGTGTTTCGAAGCTAGTTCTTGTATCTGGTAGTGGAATCCAAGAACGTTCAGATAAACACAGTACAAAATATACGCATGTATATATATATATATATACATATAATATTAAATATATTGTTCGATATATTGTTATATTATTAAATATATAACGATTTTCTTATATATTTTGTTATAAGTGTAATTTTGTTATAATATTTTGTTATAAGTGTAATTTTGTTATAATATTTTGTTATAAGTGTAATTTTGTTATAATATTTTGTTATAAGTGTAATTTTGTTATAATATTTTGTTATAAGTGTAATTTTGTTATAATATTTTGTTATAAGTGTAATTTTGTTATAATATTTTGTTATAAGTGTAATTTTTTAACCTATAAAATTTCCTTAATTACGTTAATAAAACATGTATTACGATAAGAGTTCTTCAAATATAAGTTATGATCAAGAAAAGGTAACAAAAAATAAACATATCAAATTATTTCAATGACATGTATATGATAAAATATTGAATGATTGCAATGATTTGTGCCTGATTTGAAAATAAAATATAAGCTGTATTATAGTATAGTAAAATATAGTAAAATAATAAGCTTTATTATAATTGTCGTTGTACAACCCTTGTGTTATTTTCCATTGTGCGGAGAACTATCACTAATACCAGAAAATTTGTCCAGAGGGAAATCGATTAAAATCACCATTTGAAATCAAAGAAATTACTTTTTAACTGTTTGAATATTTTTTGTTGCGATTCCAACACCTGTTCCTTTCCGAAATTCGTATAACATAATATGTCGAAAATTTAATTTCTTATTTTCTATATTGAAAAATAATTCTCATGCACAAGTCAATTTAATTCAATACTATATAACATGACACCAAACAAACATGTACATACATTTAACTGCGATAATGCTCCTTCATTTGTGAAAATTGGGCACAAACTTTTGTAATCATTTAATATAATCATTATAGTAATAATTTAATATAATAAATCATTTAATATAATAAATAAATTTTTTTAGGTGAAGATTGTTGATCTTCGAAGTGATACTCTTACAAAACCAACTCAAAAAATGAGAGAAGCTTTATCCAGTGCTGAAGTTGGTGATGATGTTTTCTGCGAAGATCCAACAGTAAAAGGTATGAAAATAATCGTTTTGAAATATATTTAGTATTAATATGGTATTAATATAGTAATACAAAATGCAAAAAATAATACAACAAAATAATATTATTATTAACAATATATGTTTTGTTATTGATTTTTAGTATTACAAGAAACAACGGCCAAAATGGTTGGAATGGAAGATGCATTATTTGTATGTTCTGGAACTATGGGAAATTTAATTGCAGGTAGGTATAGTACATTATATGTATATATATATATTAACTTTCATTTATATTACAAGTTTTATTAATTTCATTCACTTAAAGAGATAGTAATTCATAAATAATTTTGTTAGCTCAAATTATTATATCTTCAATTCAAATGTGAAATTAAATAAGAGGTATTCACTTCATATTTTAATTAATGTTAATTAATACAGAGAAATTAAATTCAAGTGTGTGCTATTTTTAATTGTTCTGTAATTCATGTAGAATTTTATGTTTGTAACGAATAATATTGCTAGAATGCAGTAATCACTGAAAAATCACATCACAAGACTGTTTGCATAAAAAGAGAAAATTATTTGGCAATAGTGAAATGACACATTTTGTTTATTTGTTTAAAACTTGTCCAATATTTCATGATCTATCAATATATGGAGATCTAAAAGTATTATATTATATAGATTTTTAAGAATGGAATATGCAAAAATGTTGAACAAATTCAAAATAAAACAGATTTTCTAATAAAATAACATTTATTAGTATGAAAAATATAAAAAAATAATGCAGAGAAGTTGTAAAGTAAGGTACTATTTATTAAAAGGTATTGAAAATTATCTTATCAAGATGAACGACGTATTTTGCGCATTTCTTCCAAATCTTAATTCACAATGAGGCAAATTATATTATACAAAAAGCTGACATTGTCGTGTAAAAATGTTAAAAGATTGAAATTATAGAAAAACATCTGTATTAATATATATTAGCGAAATACAAAGAACAATGTTTAACGCTTGCTAAGTAGCGAGTTTACTGGAATTTTCAGATGAAAAGAAATGCAATTTTAATGACTATTTTCAATATTATTTCTATGATGTACGAAAAGAAACATTAATAAAAATTAGATGACAAATGTTCAGCGGTAGTTTAATGATTTCGACGGCAGTCAGATACTTTGATAAGATATTTAATATCAAATTCATTAATGGAAAAATGAACAATGCTAAATATTTAAATTTGTTAAGGGAACAAACAAACAATCGTACAAAAGGCATTTCTGAATTTCTTCGGTATAATAGCTTTATACAGTTATATTTTACAAATAGCTCTATTTTGCCACGACCTGGAACATTAACATATGGGAAACAATATATATTGTAATATATTCTAATAATTTTTTGAATTTATTTTATTCTTATATTTTAATATGTGAAATTTGTTACTTACGTTTTATACAGAGAATATTTATAAGAAAAAATAAATAAGTAAAAGTCTCTTTTTTAAAAAATGATAGAAAATTCACATATTATAGCAATTTAAAAAAAAAGAAGATAATGAGAAATATTAATAAGCAAAATGTTTTTTAAAATAATTAAGTATAAATTAAATTAATAGAGATATATGTAAAAAGTAATATTTTGAAATGAAAAATTTTTGATATTTAGTTATTGACAAAAATAGTTCCTTTAATAATTCATAACATTTGCTTTGAATTACCTTGCAAATTGCTAGTTATTATCTGTATTTTATATTTGCTTATTATCTTCATAATTTATTGTCTTCTATAAATAATTATGATAAGAATACAGATAAGATTACATTCTAGTTCGTACGTTTTTTAAAAATTTTGTCTTGTTCCTTTTCCTAAATTTCAGATTTTTTGATGATTTTTTGATAAGACTTGAAAAATAATTATAGAATTATAGGACTTGAAAAATTTAGCTTAATGATATCTTATTTGATACCTTTCCTAAATAGATAATTGGCAGTTTAATGTTAAAGTTACAATCTCTGTTTTTTTTAAAGATGTAAATAGTTTTTGTAATGTAATCAATAATATATTAACTTGCTGATAAATATATGGATTCAAGAAATTTCTTGTAGATTTTATTACTTATGTGTATATATGCATATATATATATATATATATATATAATGTATTAATTGTATTATGCAATTTATGTATTAATTGATACAGTTTGACATTCTTCATATCAAAAAGATATTAATTTATGTAATGTAAAAAATTACTAGTTTAGGAGATATTTTAACTTTAATTCGTGCATAAAAGAAATATGAACACAAGAATATTGCTCTTATCTTTTCTTGTTTTTCACGTGAATGAACCGTATATTATATATATATGTATTTACAATGTGTCTCACATAACTAATGCCACTATTTTTCAAATATTTTAGATAATCTAACAAAAGTTGTTTCAAGTGGAATCTGATTAGTTTTCAGTCAGTTACATATTCCAATACACAAAATTTCAAAAAAACTTTTTTTTTAAATTTTTTAAATATTTAATTATTATAATACTATTTAGTATTCTAGTGATATTTTTAAATGTCATTGTATTATTGATTTTACATTGTTGTAGTCAATGAATTCAATAATCTGACACTGAATTGACCTTGAATGTAGAAACATTGAAGAAATTTTAACAAAATTTAAAGCATCAAATTTAGTGTAGAACGAAAGAAATATTAATGTAATATCATTGCAACTTATGAAGCGTAGAATCAATTATATTAAAATCTTTAATAAAATTTCTTTTATATATTGCATACTATGCGTATTAGAAAGTGTACATTTTTGAATCTACCGCTTATGTGTCTTCTACAAAAGATTTGCGTCTTTTGTTTCTAGTTATTTCCGTAAAAGTCTTCTCATAATAGAACCGTATGTACGCCGAAAATTAAAGTGTTTTGATCTCAAGTTATATTCATTAAATAAAGGTCAATTCTCTTCAAATTTTGTTATGCCATGAGTGTTGATGTATGAGGTAACGTATATGTATTTTTATAAAATGTAAGGTGGTATGAAAAACCAATGATGTGCTTCGAATCAAACATTTAAGGTAGTGGCATGAGTTAATTATCATTTGTGTACTGAATGCGGTATCCGCATTCAAATTCTAATGAGTCAGAAATATGATTTTTCATGGTAAAACATGGTGTCGAAATAGATGGTATGAATAAAAATAACATGATGTTATATGTTATACTTCCATATTAAATATAATTCATTTGAAGATTTGTTAAGAACATGATTAGAAGTATAAACATGATGATATATACATACAGGGTGTCTCGTAACGTTAATTCCATTAACTAGCTTAAAAAGATTCAACTTATTCGAATTTTATTTGATTTATTATATCAATCTATTATTTGAATTTCTATAGCTTAAATGTTAACAAGTTCACATTCCAATCACTCAAACAATTCGAACAAATTAAATTAAGTTATTTGAAATATTATTTTTAGATGACTAAATTATCTACTTATTTCATTTAGTTTCAAAAATTAAAATTCAATTCTGTGTTTGAGATTATAATATTTGAATATTTTAAATAAATACTTTCTTTTGATATATAATTGAATGATATTCTAATTTCTTTTGTTATCAATAAGTATTTAGGGTACATCATTGTAAGAATATGTTTAATGTTTATTGTATGTATAAATATCAACCATTTGTAAAAAATACTTTTGATGCAATTAAATGATATAATTTAATGCATCTTTTATACTATATTAATTATTAATTATTATGCTTATTATTATATTAATTATGTTATAATTGTATTATTAACTACATAGTTATAACTATTAATTCTTAAACTATATCAATTATACTAATTATACCAAAATGAATTTATTTATTTGAATTTTACTTTAATTGTTAAGAAAATTCAGTTAATCCATTGAAACAACTAGTTCTATTTAATTATTTTTTAAAATTGCAGTAATGAATCATTGCAATGTTCGTGGAAGTGAAGCATATTGTGGCGATTCCGCTCATATTTTATTACATGAACAGAGTGGTGCTGCCCAAATTGCAGGAGTAAATCTTAGACCATTACGCAACAATATCGATGGCACTTTTGATCTATGTGAACTTCAATCCAAACTGCGACATGATAGAGATCACGAGCCTATCTCTAAATTAGTACTTGTAGAAAATACAATTAATGGTAAAATTGTTCCACAGAGTTGGCTTAAAGAATTAGTACCATTCTGCAAGAAATATAATTTGAAGTTGCACATGGATGGAGCTAGATTATGGAATGCTAGTGTAGGATCAGGAATACCTGCAAAAGAGATTGTTTCTGGTTTCGATTCAGTAACGTTTTGTCTCAGCAAGGGTCTTGGTATGTAATATATTCTTTTTTATTTGTATTTTTTGTTCATAACAATAACTCTTTTTTTTATATTAAGTTATGTAATAAATTCGTGCGCCATTTGGTACTATATTTTTCAGAATATTAAGAATATGTATTGTGGAAACTGTTCTGTATATCATCTGTAATAGAGAATAGAGAACAATGTGTCTCATACAACTAGACGAGCTTCCAAATGGTTAGAAATACAGTAGCTAGGAAATACAGTTGTAATACTACAGGAAATATTTTCTTTTTCTTGTATAAAAATTTATAGTTTTGATTGTCGCCAATCGATGCAATTTCTAGAACTATACGAAAAAAAGCTTATACTCTGAACCTAATAGTTCAGAAATTATTATAGTCAAAAGTTTGCTAAACGATATTTCTGATTATTTTTATATTTTCGTTGAAGAATACTCGTACTACACATTACAACGTTTGTAAACATGAATCGGTAAAAAATATCAAAAATTTTAAAAAGATACATACCAAATGCACTTAAGAAGAAAAGAATATTAATGAGTGTTGCTATAACGGATCACTGTTTTGTTATAATATAAGTATTGTATGACACTTGGCAAATGTATTGAATTAATTAGCAAACTTTTGAACTATAATAACTTTTGAATTACATATTAAGTTTAAAGCATGTGTGTTAATACTTTTTTGTAGAGATTTAAAAATTGCATTTATTATCAAAACTATAAATTTTCATATACAAGAAGATGCAACTGAATTTTTAAGGTGTATCGATGCATAAAAAAAAAATTATTTTTAGATTATATTTTATTGGATGCCATTTAATTTTTGCAGTTATATGGACATAATACATAATATATACATATAGTACATATAATTCAAAGATACACAAATTATATACATACAATTTTTTGACAAATAAACCTTTAAAATTACTTAATTTATTTAAAGCCATAATAACACATTAATATTATCGTTGAGATAATGCGAACGAATTTATTACAGAAGCTAATATATTTTATTCAATATTTTTGAACAATTTAAAAGAAACAAATAATTCTTGTTTGTGATAGAAGTTTTAATAAAGAAATGTATCTATCATCATAATAATTAACATTTTAAAAAACAAATTTGGATTATTAGAATTTCCCTTAATATTATTGTAACATATGAAATGGTTGAAATAAATACGCTCTTACTTTTTTTAATCAAATTAAATTAAAGTATTAATCAAATTAAATACATGCTATTTGAATCTTTTTCATTATGTTATAATATTTGAATATTGTTATAAAAGATTTTAAACTTCAGGATTTTATAGAATTTAAAAATGTATCTTCTGTCACCCCGTTTTTTTGAAAATCTTATCCTTTAAAATGAAAGAATCTATGTATAGTAACCAAAAGATCTCACATGGCTAGATCATCAACCCATTTAGCGCCAATCACGAGTAGAACTCGTGTTAAATGAGACAGGCCTATATAACTTGCCACGAGTCGGATTCGTGGTATGCAACATAGGGTATATAAAATAATGTTCCACATAACTGCCGCTATGATATTTTAGACACTTTCGATAATCTGACGAAAAAATGTTTCGAATAAAAATCATTATTAAATGGATTTACAAACTGCAATGTAAAAAATTACAAGCTTCAATTTTTTTAAAAATTGCATTATACATTTTTAAGCTCATAGTCTTGTAACTGATATCAAGATGAATTCAATGAGTTGCCGTTTCATAACTTTTAGATATTTGGTGTCACTCTAGTAATGGACAGTACCAGAATATGTGATTTAAGCTTTGTGAGTTAAGCTATGTGATTTAAGCTTTGCTCAGTGAAGTTGTTCATCATCTGGATCTTGAACGATTCTTTTAGACTGAATGCACTTGACAGGTAATTATCTTTTTGAGTAGGTGTATAAATTTTCAAACCAGAGTTTTTTTTGGATTGAAAGTTTGAAATATTTCCTTTTTACTGCATGAAGTTCATTTGGGGCAAATGTAACTCTTGTTTGAATATGTTTTGAGTCCTATATTCGGATTTGGTGGATGGGAGTTGCTTTTATCTAGTTTCTGATTATCTTCTATTTGGAAATTTGTTTTTGCTAGAAATGCTGGTTTTAATTTTTCTACTGAAATAGTTCTTCTCTATTGACAAATATAATAAATCTCTGATCATTTAATCTTTGTTTAATTTTGTGTAGATTTCAGTATAGTGTTCTTCTTATTTCATCGCATTTTAAGAATATATATATATTTTTATATATAAACATACTGATTTTGATATGATGGACTATTGCTGTTGGTTTAAATGTTCATATGTTTTTCTATGAAAATTTCTAGATCTATCATTGAAACGAATTAAAAAAATCTCTGGGAATTCATATTGTGCATCGACTGGTGAGGCTTTAATATCTTCTTTGCAAGTTATTTTCCTAAAAGTACTGTTAAAAGCGCATCGATCGATGGAATTTTTGCATTGCACATTAATGCTGTTTTGGTGCCATCTTTCTTCTAAACCATTAATGGCAGGATGATATGGTGTAGTACTTATTTTTTTTTGCCCCGATAGTATTTGCTATAAATAATACGCTTTCAAATTAAGATCTTTAATTTGTTGTTATTGATAATGGTGTGCCAAAAAGACTAATTCTTTGAAAAGTGTGTTTGTTACTGTAATTGCTTCAATGTTTTTTAATGATGTAGTCATCGGGAATCTAGAAAATCTATCAATCATTGTTAAACAGTATTACCTCGGGCGTATGAATTATATCTAAATGAATATAGTTGAATCTATTATTTGGTACGTTAATTTTAATTGGATCTAATTTTATATGTTTGTTTATTTTTGATTTTTAGCATGGGATACATTCACGAGACCATGTAGTTGCATCTTTTCGAATACCGGGCCAGATGTATTTTTCTTCAAGTATTTTGGACGTAATTCGACCACTAGAATATGACAGACCGTGTACTATATCAAATGTTTTTCGCCTCAATGAGTTGGGTATATATGGTTGAACATATCCTGTTGACGTATTTACAAAAATTTTATTGTTATCTATAATTAATTGCAGCTCAAGGGAGATTTCATTTCGAAGTAGTACTGCTAATTCTGTGGCTTCTTTTTATTCTTCGTGAATTCTTTTTGAAGAAAGAATGGTGGGAATTTGTATCGCATATATTCTTGATAAGGCATCTGCTACTATATTACCATAAACGTACTATTTCTGTAGTGAACTGTGATATAAAATCTGTCATAATTGTCTCAGTGATGCTTTATCTTAGTGTTGTGAAAAAGCGTAAATTAATAGTTGAGTATGATCTGTTTGTACAATAAATATATATAAGCATATATATATAAGCATCTCAAATCAGGTTGCCAAAAACTGAAAGATAATGGACTAACAATTAATGTACAAAATGTGAACTCGAAAGAACCGAAATCGATTTCTTAGAATATCATGTTACTAAGGATGGATACTACTATCCAATCCAAGAAAGTTAACGTCGATCAAGACGTACCTTAAACTGGAAACAATTATGGAACTACTTCCTTTTTAGGAATTACTACAGACAATGAATATATCAATGAATATGTATATATATATAGTAACGTCATCTACTATAAATGAATATTCATTTATTCCAAATGTAAGATTTTATTTCCATAACTTTTTATGATTGTGTTATTTGTCTTTTTTATGATTGTGTTATTTGCTTTTCTATCATTAGGCATTCAATCACGAATTAACAACTCAAATAAACTCTTTTAATAACACAATTGATACTTTTTAACAGCTTTTTCAGAATGCTCTCTCACGACTCTCACGACTTGGTTTTTCAATTCTGCTCTTTCCAAAAAGAAAAGTTCTTCGTGCCTATGTTGTGCTTTTTGCATCACATTTATATTTTATCGTATTTTTACGATCAACAAATAGGCCATCTGTTATATTTAAACATAACTAAAATTATAACTACAGATTAATTATAATAACTGATGCTACATATTTATGCTGGACTCTTTGAGAGAATATAAGAATGAGTAATTTTGGAGTGACTAATTCTGATCTTTGATTGGTGACCACTTGATTTTTTCTGGATAAAGTGGCATTCTTTTTATGGTTTTCGAAAAAGTTTTCGGTGATATTTTAATGCATAGAAGAGCCTTCTGCTTTCATTCAACTTCCCATTGTACTAGTTTCTTTGTTAATCAAGTCACCCATGTATTATCTGTCGTGTTGTCGGTTGTAGTTCCTAGATTGGCGGTTTTACTGGCAGTCTGGTTTGCTTTTCCGTTGCCAAAAATTCTTGCATGGCTGAGGACCCATTAAGTTTTATTTTCTTTCTTTTCATGAAGGATGGATTTCAAGAATTTGAAGAATGATATCGTTATTAGATCTCTATTGTATTTTTGGAATCCATCATTACTAGTTCTTTGATACGAATTATTGGGAGTAATTTTGAAAGCTTGAAAAATGGCAATTAACTAAACTATATAGATTGAAATATTCTTAAGGAGTTTTCTTTTAAAGAAGTTAAAAGAGACAATTGTATAATATTTCTTTATTGTGTGAAAGCACACAAAATATCCTTATTTGACGATTTTCTTTTGTTGTGATAATAACAAAGATGTGCTTTAACAAATCATTATTAACTTATAGTTACAATAGACTATGTTACGATGTTAGAAATTATTACAATAAATATGTACCCTTATTTTTAATTTTATTCGTATTACTCTTTTAATAGTGTAAATGAAATGGTGTAAATGATTTTAAATAGTGTAAGTGAACTATCATTTTTCCGATAGTGATGTAATCATCGATAACTATCGGTAGTTGATTATTATCAACAGTTGATTATTAGATTAGAGGAAATGCACACCGGTCCCGCCATATCCGTTCCACGTGGGTTTGTTTTACGCGAATGAAAAGTCTGTTAGTACAATTTTCATTTTCATATCCAAAAATAGATTTTTCTTTTTCTTCGTGTTATCGAACGTTTGTTAAACGTTCTGGGCTAAAATTACTATATAAAGTATAAATCTGAACAGTGCAGTAAAAACGTTGCTTACTTATTGTGTATTGAATAATATACCGTTGCTAAGGCCGATTGTTTAAGACTGAGTCTAATGTCTATATGTTTAGATTAAATATTGTTTTACCGTCTTTTATGCGTATAAAAAGTACTGCGTTGTGTTGTAATTTACTGCATAAAAAGAGTGCCGCGTAAATGGTGTGTTTTGATTGGACAACTGACAATGAGTGGACAATGAGTGGAATAGGGGTCGCCACTTGAACGTGGGGACATTTTAGGAAATATGTATGTTGAAATCAGAGAGTTTAGAAAGGGACAACGGAAATAACGTGTTAATATAAAAAAATGTACGAAGTTGTAATATTTGAAAAGTGATATTAATTTTGACGTAATAAGTTATTTAAATTAAAATGTGGAAATTTTTCTAAACTAGTAAGGAACAGTCTTGTTTTTTTACGATATTTTGGCGGTATTGGACATGTGGTGAGTAACGATAATAATTTATCACTATTAATTTCAGTTAATGATGAAATTTTGTTTCGTGATTAAATTTTAATTGTCGAAATCATTTAAATAATTCATAATACATCTTGTGTGAAGTAAAATCTGGAAAATTGCTTGAAAACAAAGTAAAAATAATTTTAACCCGGGATTACCCACGTGAGGGTCTAGTCGCCGGGATGTACCTGCGCTAGACCCCCACGTGGGTAATTCCGGGTTAAAAACTATAAATTTATTTGATATATTTCTGAGAAACAATTCGGTTAACAAATAATACGTCATTTGATTCATCTTATTGAGTTATATTTTAAGAGAAAAAAAATTTTCTCAGTTTACAATCTTTTAAAACTGAAATTTCAGTTCAATCACACACATTCATATATTATACATATATCCATATAGCATTCAAAAAAGATATATCGCAATACTTTTATTTATAATATCATTTCAAATACCAAATATATAGAAAGTTTGTAGGAAAGTTTCAATACAAAAAGAAATCAATAGAGAAAAAGTAATTATACATTATGTTTATTCTAGTAAAAAAATATTTGTAATAATTAAGAAATTATCTATTAGTGTTAAAAATTAAAAACTATTTTATCATTAAAATATATTTCTGTAAATGACATTTTAATTCACTTCATATATGCTTGATTGAGAGATTAAGAAATTGCTTATAAAATATGGGGTTATATAACAACTATTCTCTAATTAAATATGATTTGCGTTTAGGGTTGTTATTTTACTGAAACGAGAAACGATTTAAAAGATTCAATTTTTTAGCATTTTTCTAAATTTTTGGAATATTTAAATATGTACATTTTTCCATTATTTCAAAATGTAAATTTTCTAATGCCTATAGACATATATAATCTTACAATCAGTTATAATACTATTAATATTATGCTTTATTGCATAATACTGATCATATACAATTATTGTGAATCTGATATTTTTATTCCTTAATGCTTTTCTTTTTTTCTTCACATCAATTTCCTTTTATCTTAACTTCAAATATGCTGTTTGTCAATTCAGATTACTTCTTTCCAAATATCTAATGGCTTTTCTAAAAACATTCAATTTCTAACTTATGTAATATTTTGCAGTAATATTTTCTGAATTATTATATTGAATGATATATTTATTTAATTTTGTTTTTTCTTATTTATTCTTCAAGTATTCTTCAAATTATAATAACAAAATGATCAATATTATGATGCTTGGGAAATATTATAGCTATTATTATGTTAATATAGGGATCATAAAATCAATGAGAGATTAGTCTTAAAAGTGATAAACTAATTAAATATGTATATGTATAATATATTTGTTTATGTTTTAGACTTCCTTATTATACTTTATTGATTATGTTTTATTCTGATTTATAAAATATTTTATATAACTGGAACATAGATATTTTATCTAATTCTTGTACAACTAATAATAATACTTTAAAAATATATTATTTTTGTTATAATCTGAAAGATAAAGCTTACATTATGCTTGTTTGTCTCTTTCTCTGTTTGAAATTAAAGTATTTAAGTTTAAAAAAAATAATAAAATAATTCTAGATTATTTATTAAATATTAGTTTCTAAAAATACTGTAAAGAATTAATAGTATTTTAGATTATTTTTTATATAATATTTACTATATGAATTATTCAGACTTTATCTAATTCTTATCTATCTTTTGTTTTGAAATATTGTGTTTCCAATCTCCTTATTTGTGTTTATAACAAAGATATATTATGAGTATATCCACAATTTGGTTTTATATAGACTTATCACATTCATGTTATGTTACAATACTTCTAATTTAACTATTCTCATTGAATATGAACATTTTTATTATAGAAACCAAATGCTTTACAAATGATTTAAACAAGATTTTAAATAATAGTTTTATTAAACTATTTGCTAATTGTTTTTAACTGTGAATGTATTTAATGTAATGTAATAGGAATAATATTCTTTTTGATTTCGTGTTTCACAAAATGAGATTTAACATTCTCATGTTATAACTTTTTCTCATCTGATTATTTTTCTCTCTCACATGCTTTTACTATCACTTAATATTATTAGACTATAGATTTTTATGCAAATTCATATTGTTATAGAAAATTGTCTTATGTATCAAATATAAAGACAATTGTACTTTGGATATCTTATATATTTTTTTTTCATATTTTATATACGATGTACAATTCCATATTTTAAAATTTCCTACAAATGCATAACAATCTGCAGTCTAATTATATATAGTTCAACAAATAGTCAATAGTACAGTTTGTATTTGTATAACATGCTGAATTTACTATATAACATGCTGAATCTCTATATATCCAACCAAGTGTAAATTCATTTTTAGTATATTTTAATTTATAACTTCGTATATCCTAAAATTTTTCTAGACTCTTGATTTAAATAGTGTATTGAAATTGCTAAATTATGTCTTGATCTACTGTTGCATATTTATGAGAATTTTACTTATTCTGTAATATGATTTATTTACAATATTAATTCATCAAACATAAAATTAACATCTATTTCTGATTCAGCACTTCTACGATCTATTCCATATTTATTTAATAAATTTTTCAAATACTGTTTGAGTATGATTGGTTAGAGTAAAAAGAATGTATCATTTCTCCTATTTTTTATTCTAATTTTTTATTCTATGTCATTTGCCAAAACGATTACAAATATTAATCTGTTTGTGTGGCAAAAAGTAAATAGATCATCAAGATACAGATAGTGATATAGTATGATGGAACAAATTATTAGCATGTACATAGATCTTAAAGTGTATACAAAAATTTTCATTATTTTTCATACATTTAAGGCAAAGAATATTTTTCAAAGTCATTTTTACAACATTTCAAAGTGAAAGTGATGGAACTCTAATATTTTTGTCGATATTTTTATGGACCGTAAAAATTGAAGTTTAACCACCTGGATTTCAGTCCAATCATTTGATCTAGAGAAATTTTTTCGGAACAAAACGTTTATTAACTCCTTGCCTTACGATTTATTTTTAAAGAAACGTGCGTGTGCAGACTATTTAATTTTAAAGCAACTCTGTGCGCGGAGTTACCACAAAATATTTCAGTTTTTATTGACTATATTTAAAAAAATATGGACGATATTTTATTTGTGATAGAACAGATTTATAAAATAATGATAATAATGAAAAAAAACTTGAAAGCTAATTCTCTTCAAATAACAATGAAATTAAAAAAAAAGAACATATTCCTTGAAAAAATGAAAATTATTATGAATATAATTAACAAAGTATTTAAATTGTTTTCCTTCTTAATTTTATTTATTTTTTTATAATAATTGCCTTTTACTAATATTCTTGAAGTGTGTAATAGTTTCTTGCTGATAAGTACTTTGTAATTTTCCTTTGCAAATATTATGTTTTTTTTTTAAATACGAAATCCATCGTTGTGAAGCCATAAAATAAAGATTCATAAAATTCGTATAAAAATACATCATTCTCAACCAACGTTCAAACCGCACTGAATACACTCGTTCTCGTCTGATCACGAAAGTTAAGCAGTGCTGGTCACGGATAGTTCTTAGATAGATGGGTGACCGCTTGGAAACTCCGTGTGATGTTGGTTTCTTTTTTTTTTTCTCAATAATTGGAAACTTTTGGTTGCTATTATACAACTATGTTGTATAATAAAATTTTCTAAATTTTCATACGATTTCTTTTAATTTTTTTCATTCTTTGAACTTTCTTCTGTTTGCCATTATGTGATCATTTTAAGAGTGATAATCGAACAAAGAATAATATGTAGCGAATGAAGAATTTGCATTGGAACATCAAACGTATTTTACTATATATGTATTATAATTTATTTATTTATTCATTATGGCCTTCTCGGCCATGAAATAGGACTTAATTTATACTATATTCTAATTTATACTATATTCTTTATCTACACTCTTCCACCCTGTCCTCAATAATGTGATATTTCAATAGTGAAATATTATTAACTAAAAACCATATAAATTTCATTCAAACAAGTGTGTTTAAACTGTATGCATATTATTCATTATCTTGATATTCGATATTGCGATACAGATCTATAATTTTCTTTGGTGCAATATATTATATTTCAAAACAATCCACAATGTATAATCATGGTTTCGTGACGGGACGGTTTTTCTCA